GTCATCAGCAAATATAATGAGATGTATATTTGTGTGTTTGATTTAACAATCTTAGTGTACAAAATGTACAGTAAAGGGGGACAAAACACAGGCCTGTAGTGATCTAGTGGAAGTATAGCAAATATCTGGAAGTATAGAAAATGTTAAGAACATGCCTCAGACGGTGGAAGGATGTTCTTTAATCAAAAGTATTAGTATTAATATTATAGTAAAAGTATTAGTATTAGTGACAAGAGTACTTCATATACTAGAGAGAAGACAGCGTATCCAAATCAACAGGAATATTCAACATGACAAATTCCATGGCACACAGTTATTTTCCTTCATTAATCTTTACATTATTCACTTTAAAACAACCAGGCATAGGAGTATTTAATTAAGTTTGTCACCCAATTCTCTATTTTTACTTTAACTTAAGACTTAACTAATATCTGGATCTTCACTGATTTTCTGGTTTGATCCTGTTTGGTCTGTGACAACTCTACGTAATTGACATCATCATGTTTAACACAACAATAGCTGAGTTGTTGTTTCCATTCTGTCCTTCTTACTCTCAGATACTGCCCATCTGTTTGCTGATTGTAAATCACAGGAAGAACTCTGGACTCAACCTATATGATATAGACATCTTTCTCAGTTGTGGGCAGAAGATGTGCTGGAACTGTACCTTACCAAGTGATGCCCTGATCTTTTCAGCTGTTGGCTCATCTCTTAGCCCTTGTTCTGTAGACCAACCCAGTGCCTTGGCAGCACACTGTATTCCCATTAAGCCTGGCAAACCAGCTACCTACCATACAGCCTGACACTCAAGAACATGTGATGCTACTAATGAAAACTTCCCATTGCAGCTCTCAAGCTCTCCCTTCAGGCTAGAGACACAAACTGAAACTCTTCTCATCCTAACTGGTTTTAGGGCCATTTAGCCCATCTGGCCTTTAGAAGATAGTAGTTTATGTTCCTACTGAGATCTAGGATCACATACAGCTGATTCTTGAAATAACCCAAAGTATCAACTTAACCACCTAGCTGGGTAGCTTGTTCCATATTCCCTCCACCCTATCCTGACCTTGACAGCTCCTTTCCCCCACACTGAATCTCACAGACTCTTAGTGAACTGTAATTATTCATTCAGAGCAGCTCTTCCTCATTTTTCCCAATTAACATCTGATAAATCTGGTTAAGGTTCTAGCAGCTAAGGTTTGAGCATACTGAAATCTGTTGATAGTGCACTTTGAAGTGACAGCAGCCAGAGTATTACAGTAGATCAATCTAGAGAAAATAAAGGCATCCAAAAGGGAAAAAAAATAAAGTAATAAATGGGAAATATTACACATGTAAAACATTACATTCTAATACAATTTCAGCCATGCATCTCAATTAATAAACAAGGGCCACTAACAATAACACCAAGCTTTTTCATCTAGGTATCTGACCTGATCTCTAAGTCATTAATGCCCATGCTGCTCTGTCTTGTCACTATCAATTTGCAAAAAATGCTCTTTATCCGTATTTTAACATATACTTAGCAACCTATAACAATAATGTCATCTATAAGCTGTGCTCACATATACATACCAATAAAAACAGATATTACATTTGTTTCCAATATCTGTTTATATTCTGAATGCCACTTCACCTGGACAAAGTCACAGCAACAAAGAAAAACACAGATAACCTTATTTATCATCAAATTAAAAAAAAGCATGAGCTGTAGATCCTATAATATTTTTGCATCAAAGGCATGCTGGACAAGTAAATTTGTGTCTGAATTGCCCCTATGTGCTTTTGTGAAGCCCTAACATGCTCCCTATGCTTCTGGAATAGTCTCACGGTTGCCACAACCCATATCAGGAATAAGGAGCTTTCAAAAATGCTTTAGATATGATGGCCTTTAAAATGGATTTTAACATCTAATAAGGTAAGTTAACAAAGGAACATTAGTGAACCTACTGTATGAAATATTTAAATGATGTCTAGATTAAGAAGGTTGTAGCTGAAACAAGGTATATTTGAAAATTAGTTTCCAATGGAGCTGTCACATTTCAATAAATCTAAATAGCATTCAAGTGTATCTACAGGTAAATTTCTTCATGAATGGTACATTTATTAAAAACATCTATGTGAATAAAGTCCTATATATGCTGTATATATATATCTGAGGATCAAAATGAATGTATCACTCTGTGCATCCTTATAGATTATAGATATAAATTGAACAAACATTATGGTGTCCTATTTATGACCAACCAGGATACACTGAAGGGCCTCTGACAGTTCAATAAGCACTAAACTGGCTCATTAGTGGGAGAGTTGATTGAACTTATGTGATGAACTGATATCAGCTGTTGAATTTCAAGCCTGGTGAAAATCAAGAAAGAGTAACTGAACATTTAACAAACATGCCCCCAAACAACAATAACGTTCTGCCACTGGTATTTTAGAGGCTGCAATAAATTGCCTCTGGTGGAATTGTCAGCAGTGGATCCACAACCTTTTTAGTGATGATTTGTGTAGAACACCTTGATATGTTTTTTGAGTATAGTGCAGGGGTGCTAATTGCTGTGTATAAAAGACCAAATGATAGGAAAGTATTGTACAAATGTAATGGTGTCTAGTCATCACAGAACAGCAGTGAATGATAACAATCTGACTGGATACATCAAATCCTGGTATTTTATCTGCTGTCCTTAGGGTTCATTCTGATTTGAACACATACCAATAGGAAAATACTTTCTTGCAAGATGAGAATGTGACATTTAGATCAATTCACCAGTCTTGAGGCCATTGAACACTTGTGGAATGAACTGGGAGGATGTGGCATCTAGGGCTTAGAAAGCAGTAAACCAGCATATACCGTAGCTACTGTACTCAGATGGTCGTCTCAAGATAGAACTCTATAAAATATATGCAACCAGGTAAAATGCATGCAGCACCCTATAAATGAGAAATGGTTTTACTGTACCTACACATTTTGTCTGTTCCATAAAATGTGTATTGTTTTGTTTAAATTGATTAATGTGCTATTAATGATTAAGTATTAATGTAGTTATAAATTAAAAATGTAGGTGGGTAGCTCCGTCAGCATGCATAGGCTGCAAAGGAACAAGTAATAGGTGTATTCCATGCCGAAAAGAGAAGAAAGAAAACACAACGTTTTGGCCGTGAAGCTTTTTTCAGGTGTGAGCCTGAAAAATGTATATTATGAAGGGATAAAAAATTTATATTATGAAGGGATAATCCAGTGTATCTAAATTTGCAATCTGTGACATATTAAAGAAGATCTTAATGATTGAAATGTTTAACTAATGTGAAAATCATATAGTAATGTGTATTTTTGTACTAATGTGATTAATATTTTTGGGTGCTCAGGAGATCTGGTAGTTCAAAGCTTTTGCCTGTCATACATTTTCATTTTCTTTAGTAGACGTACATTCATAGAATAATCTCATTTTGGCTGGCTAAAGTGCTGAACTGTCTTACAATTTATATTGCAGATCTGGTTAGATTATAAATGGACATCTGGACGATCTTTTCCATCTGGTATTGTAGGGCTTTTCATAGCTGATTGGCTGCAAGGTCTCTGTACTGAGCGAAACTTAATGATTTTAGGTTTCCTTAAATTCAGGGTGTATTGTATAAACAGACTTAACCATTTCAGTTCTCTGGGAATCCTGAAGGGGAATGGAACCAAGTCTAGGTGTTTTTTAACATTTGACAGACTATAACCTGGGTAAGGGGGAGGCACTGAATCTGTATTCTCTGGAACCTACCCTTTAGTTGCTAGAATACACTTCCTTAGTCTTTTAATATTGGGAACAGCACATTCCCCTGGCTCTCACCAAGGTTTGCTGGATTTCAATTTCACCCAAGACACAGATAAAGTCTTTACTGTATCTGTCACAATAATAACAATAGTTTTGGGGGTATGAAAACAACAACAAATGCAACCCTCACCAGTGAAACATTTTTTTACTAAAACAATTATTTTCTCATCAAAATGCAATACATCTTTCAAATAGTTATACTGTAATTTCCATTATTGTGCAATTTATTATTTTGCTTGTAGCCACTGAAATGATTTTAACCCAATGATGGCAAAAAGCACTTTAAAAATTTTCTGCTTTAATGAACATGTCATGTTACTTTACTGTATACTTGCTTCTGTAGTCAGCCTTTGTGTTGAGTGGAAAACAGAATGAGCTGCCTGATTTTTAACATCTTATATTCCAATGTACTGAATTTCTCTATAATGCAAGTGGGCTTCCATTTCAGTCTGAAAACTGAATATAGTAGCAGACTAATGGTTTTAATAGGGGATATGGGACAGGAAAAAGCTATCTATTTAATGCACTTTTATTATCCAGTTTTTAAATTTTGTGGACCTTCAAACATGAACACTGTGACTAAACACATTTGAAGACTAAGCAGTGCCTCTTGATGTACGCTTTTATGTGTTTCTTATTTGCATAATTTTGTTTGGCAATCAGGGGAAAAAGCTATTAACACTATAAAAGCACACTGTAAAAAAGAAAAAAAGAGAAAATCGATACTTTATTTAAACATCTCTAATGTCATCTGGTTACAAATCACAAGATTTCCACTAATTTGAATTTGTGCTGGAGCCTGGTGATTCTGCCATTAATTCCTGATAAGAAAGAAGCGTTGTACTGCCTTCCTTAATCCTTGACAGATGCTTTAGCCAGATCAATAGCCTTTCACTTTTTTTTGTTCCGACGAGAAGATTGATCGCTAAGAGTTGCCTTGTGCTCGTTTCCACTTCCCTCACTCTTCATTATTGCTCCAATTAGTCACTCACTGGGGACCTCAGGGGAACATTAGAAACGGGTGACCCCCTGGGATTACCATCAAGGGGCAGCTCTCGGCAGAGATCATTTGGCACAAACTTGTCTTTCGAGAGGAAGAAAACTACTCAAACAAGTGGATTTAAGCTGGAGTCTCTGCGAAGAGAGAGGCAATGAGAAGAAGTTGCAGCTCTGGCTAGTGAGGGAGAAATAATCACAATGTTGCCTTCTCATGAATTATTAAGTAGCCCCAGGCTTCTTTTAGCACTGGTCTAAATGCTGCATTTTTATTCCTGGGTCTGAAGCGGAGAGCAGGGGTGTTTTTTTGACAGCTGTATTACTGCTGATAAGCAAGACTCGGCTAGCTGATCAAGTAGTGAGACAAGGAGCTGGCGCAGCCCTGCACGCAGCAGCACAGTTCCCTTTTTTCTTTTACTAGTTGAGATCTGTTCAGAAGACAAAAGCTAGAAAGAGGGCAAGCAGAGCCAGGTTGATAGCAGTTATCTAAGTACCCGGACGCAGACCTGGCTGCCCACATGCCGATCGAATTTGTTTGCAAAATTAAATTTGCAGAGGAGGATGAGAAGCAGACAGGGAAGCAGGAAGGGGACAAGGAAAGCCTGATTGAGGAGACCTGTATACCTCCAGCAAAGGACCTGGCTGGATTTGCCAACTCCTGCACCCTGCATGGGATTAATCATATTTTTGTTTCTGGCCGATTGGGCATCAAGCAGACCCTATGGGTGCTGGCCTTTTTGGTGTCACTTGCATTATTTTTGTGCCATGCTGCTAGGTGTGCTATTAATTACTTGGAGCACCCCCACTTCACAGCTCTGGATGAGGAGGTTAGCCGAGAGATGGTCTTCCCCGCCGTGACCATCTGTAACATCAACCGCTTTCGCTTTAATGCACTCACTGATGCCGACATTTACCACCTGACTAACTTGACTGGCTTACCACCAAAAAACAAAGATGGGCACAAAGAGGCAGATCTGATGTATCCTAAGCCCGACATGGAAGATATCTTTAACAGGACAGGACACCAACTAGAGGAGATGCTGATGAGTTGTAACTTTAGTGGAGAAAATTGCTCTGCCAAAGACTTTACTGTGGTAAGTTTGCAAGTTTTTGGCAGTAAATTATTTCAAAATTTGTAGCAGTCATTTTATTTTTAGAATTTTTTAGAAGCACATTGTAGCTTTACAGAAATGCAAATTGTTATTTGTAGGATATTAAATACATACATTATGTTTATGCACGAACTGACTTAAGAATGTTTCTACTAGAAATGAATACTATTGCTAAAGGAAAACTTTATAAAACTATAATTAACAGAACCAGAGTAACAGACTAATTACAATACTTACATAATACATATACTATAATTATTACAGTTATACACACAGTAATCTAGTATTTCATTCAAAGTATACAGTATATACTGCAACTTCTGTTAACAGGATTTGGTCTAAGAGGCAGAGTGCTGCATATGATTTTTGTTACATTGCAGCATTCACCCTTTACAAGAAAAAACCCATGTTGTATTTTGACTTTTTAAAGATCTTTTCAGTTTTATGTTTTATTTATTTTAGTAGATACAGTAGTTCTCTGCAAAGAGCATGGTTCCTGGGCTTACAGCTCAGAAATAAACAGTGGTTTTATACTGCCTCTTAATGCCAGTGTTGGAGAAAGAGCATGGCAACAAAAATATCTTTAAAATATTCTCCTTCACTAGCAGTGTGGGATTGCAGCAGCTCTTTCTAAAATTTCATGAGGATAGCACTGTTTTCACTTTTGGTTGCACATGTCAGTACTTGTACTATGAAATATTTAAAGGCAAACATGCATAAATCTTACTTTTCCCAAATTAGATGATAAGAATAAACCTTTTTTGAAATTATTTATGTCTGGACCCGGAATTCTAGATTTGTTATATGTAGCATATTACAGAAACATGCAGTACTTGCTTACCTGTGATTGGTATTTAAACTGCATTCCTGATAGCTGTGATCAGTATAGTTTTATTCTTTTGTAAACTTAGCATTTTGCTTTGCTAAATAAAAAAAAACATTTTTTTAAAAACATGGTGTCTGACAGGTTTCTATTTATCAATTTTCAAACACATCACAGGATTATCATCATTTTATCTGTATTATGTATTACAGTATATGTAGTTTGTTCATCCTAATATTCCTATGATTAAATACAGTATATATTAGTATTATTCACTTAAAAATAATAAATCTGCCAAAGACCTAATGAGTAACATACTGGTTGTATTTATAATTTACCTTACAATTGACATGCTTAGATTAAAATTCATATGGAAATTAAAGCTGTCTTTGCAAACACAAATCTTCTTACAATGTCACACACAATGTTTTTCAAACTTTGCACATGTCTATTTGCAGAAAAGTATTGTCCAATGCATGTCATTTTGGTTTAGGCACTTCACTTAAAAGTGACTTCAGTAGGAATTATCAGCTTACGAAAGTTCCAGCACTCTCTGTTATTCATGGATTCTGATCTGCATCTGTGTGGCTGTCAGTTAGATTTGTTACAGACATCTAGTTCCCCCTCTGCATGACAAGTCATTTACCCCATCCCTATGGGCAGACAAATGTGCCAATGCTTAAAGTATTAGAATACGAAAAGGACCTTAGTCTGGTAACAGATGTTTCAACCTCTGTCAAGAACGTACTGTAGAACACTGATGTTGTTTTTTGATGAACTCTGTGAGTTTCCTTTTGCTTAGCATTTACATGCTTTGAAGTGTACTGAAAAGGCATAATGTTTCCCAGAGCTATAAACTACATGATTGATGTAAAAGGTAGAAAAGGGTTGTGATCTCTCCTTTTTGAGAGTGTAAAGCTGTAGTGAGGTAATACGGATTTTACTAAATTGAGTTCTTGTTTTGCCTGGGTGAAGTCTTTTTAGTATTTCTGTTTATTAGATTCAACAGATAATTATATATTTTTACATCTTTAGGGATGTTTTTTTTTATTTCTACATCATGTATGAAGCTATTTTTCTGATGTGCTTTTAAATATTTATTTAAATATAAATATTATTAATTGCTCTGAAAGCAAACCTATTAGAAATCTAAACTTTCAAAATAAGAAAAACTTACCTATTATTTTTTAGGAATCTGTCTAACCATTGCTTCACTTTGGCCAAATAAACACAGCATCTAAAATTAATTTTATAAAACCATATAGTTATAAATTACTAGAAGATATACTGTACAGTGCAATACATACATTTAAATTAGGATTCAGAAAAAAATCTAATTGGTAATAATTTCAAATGGTTATTTTACACAAGAGTGTATTCTTCTATAGAAATTTTAAATAACCCTTTGTCTGGCATTATTGTTATTGTAAAAAAACAACTAACATATTGTGGCCTAGTAGTGTAGATATTTATAGATTTAACAGATACATGTTGAAAATCCATTTGACTTATCTTAAAATTCTCTAATGCAGCACTGGAGTGGCTGTTAGGCAAGATTTTGTCTTTCTATCTTTTCTTCAATAATATAAAATTTGGTGATATCCAAAAAAGGAATTTTTAATTTTTATGATTGCATTTTCAATTTTTTTTCTGTATCATTTATAACAGACTTCTAACAAATCATTAGTGATAACCAATATATTCATCAATAGCATAATTCCAAGTGTAAAGAAAAATGTTAAAGAACTGCATATGGCATTTAATGTATGACTTCACGAAGGAAGCACACCTAATAGAAGTACATTCACCTCAGCTTTCTGATTGTGCTTCAGAACGACCACGCAGGTAGTGAAAATGGAATACTGCAAGAAAATAAAGCTATTGAATTTTGAAATACAGTATATGTTAATAATACAGTAATATCTCCTTTTTTTTGTTATGGTAATGGGTTTGATAAGATCAATTCCATTTCCAAACATGCAGGAGACTTACAGTAGTAAACTATGTTAATTTCTGTGCAGATTTATTTATTTAAATCTGGCTCAGTGGCTTAATAATAACAAAAACACAGATTTTTAGAAATCATTTTTTAAGTCTCCACTGTATTGAGTAATGAGAGAAATACAACTGCAGTTAAGAAAATGCTTCATTCTTGGATACACAGGTATAACTGAAAAATGTTTTGTAGGTTTTGCCCTTAGACATCCTTGCTTTAACTCAACATGACAACAGTGGTTGTATTTATTTAAGGAATAATTTAAATAGTATATTATTTCAGAACATACAAATGTACAGTTTTGTATTGTATAAAACATAGATGTAATCCGTGGTAAACTACTGTATTAAATAGTGTGTTTTCTGTATTAAAATAAGCATATTTTTTCTTTGTAAGATATGAGTACTACTTTAGTTCTTGCTCAGTCCTACAAAATGATTACTGCTCACTTTTAAATCAGAATACCTTGTTTCCTTATAGTAATTAGCACCTTCACTTTAAAGCAATATGTTTTGGTGGCAAATTCTTATTAACATACCTTGAGATTTTGCTCTGAGCAAGGACAGATCCCTTCTGAATATATGCATAGTGTTAGCAAACGTGTCGAAAGATGTTGAATCAATCTCTAAAACATCATTTAGCACTCAAAGTAGGGGACATCTCACAGCTTCCTCCAGTCACTCTAATATGTTAGGTTACACTTACAAAGCAGGACTAGATTAATGCATTTGAAAAGATAATTGAATATTTAAAAACATGCAGTCTTTTTATTGAAGATGTATCAATGGTAACAATCTTTTTTATCCAAAACTCAGAATTATATAATTAACATTGAAACGTGAGCGATTTAAATCTGTATCTGTAATTTGTCTGTATTTGGCACCCAGTTAGTGTTTAACACAACAAAGCAAGCATACCAATTAAAGCTGTAGATTTGTTATTTCTCTTTTCTGGATTTGCATTAATCGAGTATCCATTTTAGGCTTTAAATGTCACATGTAATTAAGTTACTAAGAGTTATATATGTGCACACAGGCTTCTACAGTCCTGCATGGACTCAGCAGTCTATCGTGTCCTTTCTTTCACAGACTGAACTGCTTAAAAAGGAAGCGCAAGGAAAGAAAGGGCCAATATACTGTACTATATCCAACACTGTTGTTTCACACCTTGGTGGAAGTACTATAGAATGCAATAAGTTACAGTAAATGCATTTGTTACAAAATGAAAATTGTAATGGTAATCTCAAAATTGAATCATATAATTTTAATTTGCATTGGTACTTTAGAAATTGTAATAATAAATGAAAAGTACTATAATTGGTAATGTGTAGCACGCTTACTCCAAATGCTTTTCAACTGTCATTTTATTCGGAAGGTGAAACGATACTGTGTCTTTTGTTGTATGTCTGCCAGTACCTACTGACGGGTTCTTCATTTCTCGAGAGTCCCTCAGGGAACTATGAGTGTTCAAACGACATCAGGATCCCCAGGTACTGGCTCCTGGTTGTTGTTTTGATTGACCTGATTAGACAGATACAGACTTGAATGGCTCGAGCCCTACTGGAGTACTAACATCAGTACTCCATCAATAAGCAGTATAGTACCGTGCGTGGAATATCCCAAATCCATTAAAATGCTAAATTTCACAAAGGTCCATTTTTATTATGTATTAATAGGCTCCATTAATTAAAATGAATGTTACCTCTTACCAAACATGATTTTTGCCTACAGTGTTTTATTAGTACATATGGAAATGTGCAATGTTACAGAGGAAAAAAGTATAAAGTAATATACTTAATAATATTATACTGTAATATAATTTCATATACCTCAATTAAATTAATTATAAATGCAACGGATGTATACTGGATATTGTTTATGTATATACAGTAGGTTCATCAGATGTCTTCACATCTAATGAGCGAAAACAGCAAATAGATCAAAGTGCTTTATTGCCCATATCCATAAGTCAGAGTGAATTCAATTGAAATGTTATGGGGTGATATGAAGAAAGTCATGTCATCGAAAACCAACTCATCCAAAACCATTTAGAGCTGCTTATATCAAAGAATAGGAAAGATTCAGAAGGAAAATAGGAAAAATTCAGGAGCCATTGTAGTGTCTTACCCAAACACATGCAAACATTTGACAGCTATAACAGAAG